CTATAAATGTATACATATCAAATGCAAACAACAGGCACCAATTATACTTATAGTACTAATCTGTCTGATAACATGATGACTACAAAAATTAGAAAACAGAGTTGACTTGAAAAGATCTATGAAATGTGTGTGTTACTAATTGAGTATGTTGAGTCACTCCAATCTGCAGGAAACTAAGCTTTCTGGAAAACTATTTTGCCTAACAATTGTTTTTAGTTTTTAGATCTCCCAGCACTACCAGTGCCGATTTGTTCTCTAGAAATTACGACACTTGCACTGTCTACCTGAAAACACATACAAAGTACCTGCAAGGGACACATGCACTCCCAGAAATATATGAACCCACATGAAAATGCTGGAGAACAGCATTGCTGTTCTTCAAAAAGACCTCTAGTTGCTTATTAGACATTCTTCCACATTCCTTCTTCTGCCACAGAGAAGAAAGTTGATGCAGCTTTTTGATGGTCTTAGCCTTCCTCTTCAGTCCCTGCCATTCATACTGTACAATGTGGTCAGTTATGCTCCTTCCCTTATACTAGACTCATAGGAAACAGGGTAGGGGGGAAGAATACGATGCTGGAGCTTTCTTCTACTGTTCTCCGTAGAGTCCCACACTGGTGTCTAAGTCCTTTTGTGTCCAGTGGTGTAGTTCCTGTGTCCCCAAATTTTTCTCTGCCACTTCTCCCATTTTGACTGACTGAGGCTTATAGTATCTAGCCCCTTCCAAACCTGCTACTCGCTTTTCTATACAAATTCAAAGTCACCACAGTCTCTGTACCCCACACCCACTCTCACCAAGCTGTCACATGTGACTTCAGGATTTAACATTGTCATCTTCCTCATTTTGTTTTCAGTGATCACAAATCATCCATTCAGTTATACTGTAAATCATTGCTACAACCATGGACAAATGTAGTCTCTCATTTGATTGATTGATTTGTAGCACAGATAAAGATATTGTATTTGCAAATCACACAGAATGCACAAGAAATTCACTGTGATATTGTAGACAACCACTTTAGTCAGTATTACCCTTGTGCACAAAGATCACATTATTGTATACATAAAAATGCATTATGCGTACTTACAGGCTGCAACAAACAGAATCAAATTAGCCCTAGCATGGCAAAGGCCATGAAGCTGTAGGCTAAAAAACTGTTCCTGAAATGGCTGGCAATTTGTTTAATAGATCTGTAGCATTTGCCAGATGGATGAAGCAGAACAAATGGAAGGTTAGGAGAGACACCAATAGAATTAGCCTTCCTGGTGGTTCATTCATTAAACAGTGTTGCAAGACATGACATATCACAGCCTATGTTCTTAAGGGCCATCTTAATAACATTCTCTAGAAGACATGTATCACTTTTAATACACTTCCAAGGCACATTGTCAAAAGAAAGTGGCTCAGTAGAAAAGGTCATAATAACCAGGTCGACACCAAACTTATTCAGCTGTCTAAGAAAAAAAATATATCTCTGTTGCACTTTCTTCACAATGCTCCTGACTTTATAGACTCAATTTGAATTTCAAGTGGTAAAGCTTGTAGTAATCAACATTCCTGACAATGGCAACATGTTCCGACAAGATGTTTCTTTCTTAATGTCAATGCTATACATACTGTATATCCAGGAGTTGGAACCATTTTGAATGATGAGTCTTAGGGAAGACACACAATTGCAGCTGTAATATAGTGCTCCTTTATTTAAACTGCAAGAAAACAAAACAGAAACCCAGCATTCTCCTGAATGGAAGAAGTTAAAGTGAAAGCTTCTGCTACCTGTATTTAAATCCTGACCTGACCAGTTGACCAGGTGACTGAGAACAGCAGGTCATTCCCAAGAAAGCCACCATCTTTTCTGAACCTATCAAAAAAAGAAAATGTGTGCAAAATATTAAAGTTAGAATTAAAGTCAGTTAAAGTCAGCATTTTAAAGAGTAATTTTCAATCATTTCAACTTTCTGTTTGCCTATTTTAAATAGTGCATAGTAACTGTTTTCCAGTCTGTTGCCAAAATAAATAGCCAAAATAAATAGTATGTTGAACTCACCTGTGTTATTTCCAGGACCTTTCTTTGAAGTCATAAATCTTCTGAGATTATTTATAAAGAAAATTCTCAAAGCATGAGTGCTAGCATATAAACTTGTATTTTCCATGTCCCATCTAAGTTCTCCCTTAATGTTCATTGAAAGATTATATTTCTGCCCAAACAAAGTCAGGGTCAGTAACCTTACACAATATAGAGGACAATAAAACAAATAGGACAAAGGACAAGACACTGCAATTTAATAGTAGTGAAAGAATACAAAATACAATACAAATGATACAAGTAAAAATTAAATGTGTGCATTTGAGGGTATTTGTGCACATTATGTTGGACCTTACTGGAGATCAAGAGATGGAGACACAAAGTTTGTCTTTATCACTGTACCAATGACTTAATTATTATATCGAATGACAATGTTTTCTTCATCATTTGAAAGTGTAAAGCTTTGTTGAAAATGTCCATTCAGCCATTTTCAGAAAGCTGCGAAATGAAGCTATCTTGGAAGTATAAGGCACAAGACAGAACTCAGAGCATGGGTTAGCTCTCACTCTGTGACACCTGTCCATCACAGGGCCAAGGCGAATAATTTAGAACAGCTGGTCAAAAAAAGAAACAACTACAGAAAACCAAGCAACACAATGAGAACAAGCAACTTCACACTAAGTGTCACAGCCTCAGATCAAACGCAGGACCCAAGAGCTGTGAGGCAGCCGTGCTGCAGTAAGTACTAAGCCAACATGTTACCCTAGCAGGAATGTTGAGTAGCTACGGGCGGTGCCCCTGGACTGTGAATCTATAATTACATCTATCAGCAATAAAATATCCAATAAAATATTTTTTTAAACTAGAATAAAATGATCAAATTTGAAACGTTAACAAAGCAAGAAAAGAAAAAAAATCTCTGCATTTTCAGAAAAGACTTGAAGGAGACCTATGAATGATTCAATAAAGCTTTAATTAAAATGTGATTACTAGCAGGGTGTCATTAATATTCAAAGCATCATGTTCCATGCTTGCAAGATCAAAGATCAAATAGTTGTGAAAAACGGCTGGGTTGGGGCCTTTTCTGGGATATTTAGGTTTGTTCTGATATGAAAACTGCCATCATTAATATGTAACACAAACAGGTGTTTAAAAGTGAATTAAATGTAAATCCTCATGCAACATTTAAGAGAATTCCGTGTCATTAATTAGAATAGAGATTAGTATTTATAACTATTAAATGGAATAGCAGCAGTAAAATCAACAATCAGGAAAAACAAATCTTTATTACTTTTCAGTAACATTTTTGCAGTTAATTAGAGCAGACAAAAGTAATTCATTCAGTCTTCAATGGGTGACCAAACACACAATGACCTAGCTCCTAGTGTGGGTGGTCTTTTGCATGGAGGAAAAAACACTATGAAGGAAAAACTCAAAATTTCAACAATTAGATTTTTTTGAAGAATGTATGTGCATTGGAATTTTTTATCTCACCATTTTTCTCATATAAATTCAAACAATTAAAGCATCTCTGAGCTGATGAACAAGCATGTCCTTGGCGTTGCTTAACAACAGCATGCCATTTCCTTGAACTGCAAAATCCAAAGTAAATGTAATTAGCTATTTGAGCTCTTGACAATGAAATACATTCAGCTTTTTCATCAAACTTTTCATAATACATTTGATCTTGAAAGCTCAATACGTCAAGGTATTGCAAAAATGTTTGGTCTAAACCTTGTTTAGTAATTGTTAAGGGTATTGAGGGTATTTGAATTGTGGGGATATGTCATCTTAATTCCACTACTAATGAGGAATTGATTTATATAAACTTATTATTTATACTTCTACCACTGTAAAACAATATATAATTTTTTGCTTTCTTTCTTTATAGAAATTGTGCAACAATATAAGACAGATTTTAAAAATGCAATTATACTTTTTGAATGTTATATAGTTTTTGTATTTTCAAACTGTGGATATTACTGGTACCTTGGATACCAGGAGATTCTATCATAAAAAAATGCTAATAATATTTCAGGTCAGGAACAGCAGGGGATCAGCTGTTAAAATCAACTTAATACAATGCACAATATACTATACATCTGAATGTTGTAATGACTAATGGCAATTTTATAATTTATATATGTGCCTTACAATAGAACAGATTGGGATTGCTTAGAAACTCAGTGAAGGGTGTTGTGTAGTATGTGGATGAAAAAAAGTGACTATTATACCAATTACTCTGATACAAGTTTTTGATACAAAAAAAACTCTGATACAAATTTCAAAACCCATATTAGACTATGAACTTAGTAGCTCCTATTTTTAAATCTAATTTCACTAATAATTTGAATTATAAATTAATTTACTTGTGTAGTTTTTACTACTTATATCTTTTTGATATAATATGTTTAAAAAAACTAATGATTTGAAGCCCTTTTAAGATAAGATCACTTTATTTCCAATTCACAATTTTTTGCATTAGGAATTTGTCTTTTTGCATACCCCAGCTTGCTCTTCATGAGACACACAGACATAGAGAGAAGCGTAGGATCAGAGCACAGCATCAGCCATTTATATGGCGCCCCTGGAGCAGGTGGGGTTAAGAGACTTGCTCCGGGGCCCAACGGAGTAGGATTCCTCTGGCAGCTGAACCGGCGACCTTCTAGCCACGGGCACAGATCCTTGGTCAAATAATTTCCAGATTAAATTATATTGCATTATACCTTGTGTTAAAGTGATGTGAAATGTCACTCTTTTTTTTTCTTTTATTCACTATAGACGCAATTAAAAGGCATTGTGTCAACTTTAACTTTACCAAAGTGGGTATATGCTTAAAGTATAAACCAATCGCCATTCAGGGTTACTCCTGCATGCCGGTCCCAAGCCCGTACAAATGGGGAGGGTTGGGGAAAGACCTGGCAACCTACCCTAGAAAACCATCGCCATGAAAATTCATGAAAAATCTCACATATGTTTCAAATATGGTACCCAATAGTAGACCCCCCCAGGCCAGCAGGTATCCAAAAAGCGACTGGGGAAGAGCAAGGATCATTTGTTAGTAATCCGGGATTTTATGACGGAAATGGGGGAAATCCTTTGGGAAGCCCAGATGCTGATGCTGCCTGCGATGAAAGAAAGAATCTGCACTGCACGAAAACACACAAGATCTCAACATGGAACATCCGCGGAATGAGTCAAGGGAAACTGGACATCATCAAGCGAGAAATGATCAGACTCAACATAGATTTGCTTGGAATCAGTGAATTACACCGGAAAGATAACGGCCACTTCCAATTGGATGACTTTTCAGTGTATTATTCTGGGCATCAAGAACTTAGAAGAAATGGAGTGGCTCTCATAGCACACAAGAACATAGCCCATGCAGTCGAGAGCTACACCATCTTCAGCGACCGCATAGTGGCCATCTGTATCTGTGGAAAACCGCTAAATGTCACGGTTTTACAAGTCTATGCTCCAACAACAGATGCTCCAGAAGATGAAAGCGAACGTTTTTATACCAAAATCGAGGAAGCACTGGAACAGGTGCCCAAAAAGGATATCATTTATATCATGGGTGATTTCAACGCAAAGGTCGGCAGTCAGGAAGAGGCGAACATCATAGGCCGGTGTGGATTGGGCGAAAGGAACAAAGCTGGTGATAGTTTGGTAAAATTCTGTCATGAAAACCATTTCAGGGTTTCAAATACATGGTTCATGCAACCAAAACACTGTCTGTACACCTGGACAGCCCCAAATGGACAGCATCGTAATCAGATAGATTACATTCTTTGCAGTCAACGCTGGAAAAGTTCAGTTCTCACCATCAAAACTTTCCACGGTGCTGACTGCGGTTCTGACCATGAACTGCTTGTAACCACCTTCAAGGTGAAATTCTGCAACATCAAAATGAATGCTCCATCAGCAGGAACACATACCATACAAGAAACTAGAGAAAAGGAGCAAGTGGCTGTCGGCAGAAACCATCAAAGTCGCCGATCAAAGAAGAGCAGCCAAAGCCACTGGGGACCGAGATGAGGCTAGGAGGCTAAACGCGGAATTTCAAAGGGCAGCAAGGAAGGACAAAGAAGCATACTGGGATCAGCGATGCAAGCAAATGGAGGAGGACTGTCGAAAAGGTCACACCAGAAATCTCTTTGCACCGGTCAAGAAAATTCGAACTTATTTCACTGCCCGCAAAGGAGCAATCAAAGACAAGAACAGGAAGGTCCTGACTGGCCAGCAATGCATCAGAAGCAGATGGCGAGAATACACGGAAGAGTTGTATGCAAGCACTAGCGACCCTGAGACACCCCACGACATCCCAGTGAAAATGGAGCCAGCTATTTTGGATGAGGAAGTCGGGCGCTGAAGCACTAACCAAACAACAAGGCACCTAGTATTGACTGCATCCCAGAAGAAATGTTGAGGCCTGTTCCACCAGTGGCTATCAAAGCGATCTGCCAAAAGATCTGGGAAACCAGCAGGTGGCCAAAGGATTGGAAGAGATCAGTATTCATCCCACTGCCTAAGAAAGGTGATGCAAGGGACTGTTGCAACTACTGTACAATAGCCCTGATTCGTCATGCGAGCAAAGTCCTTCTGAAGATCATAGAGCAGAGTCTGCACCCAATCATTGAAGCAGAACTACCTGAGTCCCAAGCTGGATTCAAACGAGGTCGTGGTACCAGTGACCATATCACAAATCTGCGGTGGATTACAGAGAAATGTCATGAATATCAGAAAAACGTCTACATTTGCTTCATTTATTACAGTAAGGCATTCGACTTCATCAAACACGATAAGCTATGGAAGGCCCTGTAAGAACTGGGAGTGCCAGCAGACTTGATCCAGCTGATAAGATCCTTTTATAAAGACCAAGAAGCAACTGTTCGAACACAACATGGAGACACCGAGTGGTTCAAAATCGAGAAAGGTGTGTGACAAGGCTATATTCTGTCCCCTTTTCTTTTCAATCTTTTCGCAGAAATTATCATGAGGAAATAAGATCTAGAAGAATTGGAAATCGGTGTGAAGATTGGAGGCAGAAATATTAATAATCTCCGCTACGCTGATGATACAATATTACTGGCGGAAACGGAAGATGGCCTGAAATATCTCATATTAAGAATCAAAAAGGAAAGCGAAAAGATGGGTCTCCACCTCAACATCAAAAAGACGAATATCATGACAACAGCTGGAAATGGAGCAGTCAAAATAACCATCAATAGTGAAGAGATCAAATGCGTCAAGGTTTTCTGCTTCCTGGGATCCATGATTGACAGAACTGGAGACTGCGGCCCTGAAATCAGGTGACGAATTGCATTAGGCCGTAGTGCGATGCTGAGCATGCACCAAATCTGGAAGAGCAAAGACATCAGCCTCACAACCAAATGCAAAATGGTCCATGCTATTGTGTTCCCCATATCAATGTATGGGTGTGAAAGCTGGACCCTGAAAAAACTGACCGAAAGAGGATGGATTCTTTCGAGCTATGGTGCTGGAGAAGACTGTTATGGATACCATGGACAGCAAGGGTCACCAATAAAGAGGTTCTGGAGCGCATCAAGCCAGAAATTTCACTTGTGGGAAAGGTCACCAGACTCCAGCTCACTTATGTTGGTCACATGATGCGATCAGATTCATTGGAGAAAGCAATGATGCTTGGAAGGGTCAGTGGAACAAGAAGACTAGGACAAAGAACAAAGAACAAAGAATGCAGTGACTCGACGCCATCAAAACATACACTGGCTTAGGTATAGAACATCTGAAAGGAAAAGTCCAAGACCAGAAAGCGTGGCGAGAGATGGCCTATAGAATCGCAGAGAGTCGGATCCGACTGACCGGATAACATCATCATCATTAACCAATCAAAACATGTTATGAATTAAAATGATATTTTTTATACTTGAAATATAAATATATTTTGGTAAGGACACAATGGTTAGCATCACTGCCTTGCAGCATGGGGACTCTGGTTTAAATTCTGGACCTGGGGTGGTATCTGCATGGTTTGTATGATCTCCCAATGTTAAAATGGGTTTCCTCTGGATGCTCCAGTTTCTACACACCAATCCGAAGACATACATAAATTACTTAAATTAATTAAATTACATACAATAATTATATTGACCCTGGTGGGAGTATGTGCATGTACAGTATGTGTCTGTGTGTCCCATCCAGGATGTATTCCACCACATACCCATTGCTAACTGGGTATGCTCCAGCTCCCCCATGAGACTGAATTGAAAGAAGTAGTCACTGAAGAAATGATGGATGTACATTATGGTGTCTGTACTGGTGTCTGTACTGGTACACTGTTCCTATTTTAAATCAATGATCTGGAATATAATCAGTGAGTAAGCCTTGCAATGCCAATCTAATGATTCCAAAACAGGAGGATTAGCAAACACTAACAGAAGCAGCAAATAAAGTTTAAAATAGTGCAAACATCTGACAGATGAGTTTTATTGCATACAACTACAGGATATTGCATGCAGTTAGTAGAAATACAAACAATAAACACAAAATGGGCAACACAGAGGTTGAAGAGACTACTTATGAAAAGAAACTAGTGTTTAAATTAACATCTCATTTAGAGTACTTCTAGTAAATGCGGGAAGAAGTGAATATACAAACAAAATGTTAGAATCCATTTGGAAAAGCATAGATTTTAAATTAAGGAATGTTATGCTGAAGTTGTAAAATGGACGTGTAAGACTGCATTTAAAAGTTTGTGTACAATTTTGATCACCAGCTCTTAACGACCCTTTCAGTTTTCAACAGAGAAGACTACAAGGCACGGGACACAATTGGAAGCTAATAGAATATGCATTTAATAATGAGAAAATGAGGCACTTCTTTACACAATGAGTTGAAGGGACAATAGCACCTAAATACCGAATGGGCTACGTACTGTAGGTCCAATGACCTACTCTCATTTTAACTTCATATTCTTCCATTTTGTTTTGGCTGTCTACGCTCTACATATTACAAAGAGCACTTTGTCTATAGTTGAATAAGAAGAATGTTATGTATTTTTCTCTGTGTAAACTGTTGTTTTATTATTTTACATTACTTTTACATACCATTTAAGCTTTATGATGCTTTTTTCATTAATCTGGTGTCTTTTTTATTTTCTCTGCTTTTACCATGGCATATCACAGTAAACCTTTACTAGAGCAATCACACCAAACATCAAAGTGGAAAATAGGTTTTCCAGCTACAAAACAGTTACCGTGAGAGTGGACAGGAAATGATCTGTAGATCTTGACATCATCAAATTCATACTCAAACTATCTAAGTTCTCTACTCTATGTATTTTCTCTTCAAGTTTTGTCAGGGCATATCACATTCTTTCGAAGACAATTTGGACTGACACTTTGATGAGCACACATTGGTCACATCCAATAAAAGCATCAGTCTTTGTACAATAATATAATAAAAGGGCTGAAGTATGGGTTGTGTTGTTTAGATTGTCAGCACCTTCATTAAACACCAGACTCTTCTATCTAACTGTCTTAACCACTCTGCTCCTTGTCTCTTATCTCTCTCCTACACCCCCTCTGTTCCTCCTCTTCTCCCAAACTCTCTGTAGTCTTTGTCCATTTTTCTATTTCCAGAGAATATCCATTCTCCACACTCATTCTTCAGTGGTGGAATGAACTACACACAGAAACTCAGTCCTTTCAGCAACAAGTCAATGAAACCTCCCTATTTGTTAAAACAGAACCTTTGGCCGCTCCCTCTGGACCAGAATTTTCAAACCAATGCTCCAATATAGTGACCAAGGACAGTGTGCTTTTGGAGTTACTGTCCTTTATACTAAGGTCCTGACTGCTTGGCAGTTAAAGAAATCATGGCATTGTTTATAAGAGGAGTGCCGTAATGGTTAAAGTGGCTAAACACCACTTTGAACTTGGAGTCTATCCTATATCAAGTTTCCCCGGTAGCCAAACTGGTGAAGCAATTTCTCATTTCTTCTCGATGTTCAGTAGTGGCACGTAATGGCTGCTGCATGTCACCAAAACGGGTGCCACTCTTCTTTGGTGACTGAAGTGGGTCACCTTCTAAACTGAAGCTTTGAGATCCTTTGTGATGAAAAGTGACACATAAATGTAATTATTCTTTATTTATCTTATTTATTTTAGTTTATTTTGTTGCTTGTGTAGTGGCGAGGCTTAATAATAAGGCAGAATTAAGTGTTTCTGAGCTTCCCAAATGAGGCCCCATTTCTCTGTTCATCTCTGTGGTGCAGCCACAGAGAAACTATTCATGCAGGCTGATTTAAGGTTTGATAAGGACAGCTCCCAAAGGGGGAT